GGGACACAGCCAAACCATATCGTATCTCTCTCAGGAAGCCCACCCTGATCTCCCAGCCACAATGCTCGCTCTTCCTGGAACTCTCCCAGCACTTGTCCTAAAATGTTTTCCATGTTCTCTAGTGTTCTAATAAGCTCCCTTTTTCTAACTTCTAGGATAGATACACATATTACCTCCCTATATATTAGCTCATTAACTGCCACAATGCCCCTATTGGATAGGTATTATCATCCTCATTTTATAACCAAGGGAACCAAGGCTGAGCTGACTCTTGACATGCAAAGGTCACACACCCAAGTGCCAGAGTCAGACACTCTTTTCCCAGGCCTCCCCATGAGAGCATCAGTGCTACAGGCTATAGGACAGGCCTCTCTTCCTGTCCCCCACCACCACCTGCCACAGGGCTTGCACTGTGAGGCCCCTGACACATACTGAATACTGGCAGGAACCCCGGTGGACCCTGACTCATTTCTTCCACTCTCTGGGTGGCACCTATTTGGTGCCTCTATTACGTAGGCCCCAGGAATTCTGGGGGCAGGGAGGACACATCTAGGACATTCCCCTCTCTCCCCCACCCCAAGGCAGGACCTTAAATGATGTAACTGGGTGTATGAACATCCCCAGCTCTACTGAGAAGGGGGTGGGGGCCCTGGGCGGGCATTCCAGAGCCCCAGTGTCCTGTCCTTGCTGGTCACAGGTGCCATTAAGTCACCGAAGCCAGCCAGCTAGCCTCAGGGCAGCACTCCACCAATCCTGACCGTATTTTCCCAGGCATGAAACAAAAAATCTACACAGGTGCTGTTAAGCATTCAACTCCCCACCCACATACCAGGAACTAAAATAGCTGCAGCCTATGTTAATCATTAGCCAGGCTGCGCCTCAGACCTTCCCTCTGAGGGCTGGCACCTGGGGCAGCTCAGCCTGGAGAAACTCCAGGCAAGACAGGCTGGGAGAGTGGCAACGGCAGCGTCTGGAGCCTCACCAAGGGGCTGAACTTAAGCAAGTAGGTTCTGAAAGACACTTCTTCAAGATAAAGTCAATCTGCAGTGCACTAGCATTTGGATTACATAAGAATCCTAAAATATTGGAGCTGGAAGGGGCCTTCATGAATCACTTCATTCAACCAGTTTATTTTATTTGAGGTGGGAGCTGAGGCCCAGAGAGCAGAAGGACTCTGCCTGAGGTCTCAGAGCTGGCTGGGGGCAGGACAATGACTAGAACCACATCTCTGGATTTCCAGGCCAGTGCATTACGAACCAGGTGGGTCCCCCACCACTCAATGTATTTCTGAGCTCCATCCCACCTTCTCAGGCTGGAGAATGGACTTGAGAATTACAAAAGTTAAACCCCGGAAAGAGAGAAGAAAGTAACTGCTGCCTCCCAAATAATGTCCCATATAATCAAGCCACACAGAAAAGAATCAGCCGCTCCACAGGAGCCTTATGACCCTGTTTCTCTCCAGAACACCTCCCTATGACAACAGAGAATGGGGGCTGGCAACCACTGCTCTGATCTCTCAAGGATATTACCAGCCATGGAGACCGAACATCAGCCCCACCTCAGTTGAGGGTTCAAAGGGCCTCTGCCCTCAAACTCTCCTAGAAACAGTCACATAGGTGTCACATTTGGGGTTGAAGAAGGCAAGTTGGGAGGAGGTAGCACAAAAAAATAACCCCTATCCCACTGGGTCTTGGAGGGGGCCCCTGGATCCCATGGGGTCTGGAAGATCTGGTGGTGGCTGCAGCGATGGAGCATGTAGATGCCAGACCTGATGGTTGGGAGCAGCAGACGACTCTCGGAGCATCGGCAAAGCCACAGCAGCTTGCCAGTCTGTGCACCAGCCCACAGGAACAGAGGCTGCCTTGCTTGCACTGCCTGCGGGCTTGCCACTGTCATGAGAAACCATTCCCACTTCCTAACCTGAGGAACACACGCTTAGCCAATAGCAAGACTGATAAGCACAGTAGTAGTTTCAAATTCAGGAGAGCAGTGGGTGGTGTTCCAGAAACTTCTGGTTGTCCTCCTCAACCATCTGTTCTCTATTGCTTTAGTAACAGAACACTCACCATAGCCTGGCACACAGCAGCCGCAACTAAGGACTGTTTCCCAGACCCCTAGCAGCTACGAGGGCCTGCCATGAGGATGTGAAAGTGAGCTGTCTTGGGCCATGCAGGTAAGGGAAGCACCTGATGGTGCTACCCAACATGTGGCCCGGAGACTGGCGGCATTACACAATCTGAGAGCCTGTAAGCAATTAAAATGCTCAGGTCACATCACAGACCTCCCAAATCAGAATGATTCAGGGTGCAGTCCAAGAATCTATGCTTTAACAAGCCTTCCAGATTGTTCTTATACATGCCCAAGTTTGAAAACCACAGCCCTCAAGAATGCTAGGGATAACAGTCTGTAAGGAGCCTGGTGCCTAGACAACCTCATGGAACACTCACTTAACTTCGACTCTGATTTTTCAAGAGTGAGAGAGTGAGAGAGACAGAGAGAGAGAGAGAGAGAGAGAGAGAGAGAGAGGATCCTCTCTTCATTCACAGCCAAATCTGAAACGTAATACAGGGGGCGTGGGGAAGATGATGATGAGAAACTTAACCCAAACAGCAAAAATCAGGAAAGGAATAACATGCAAGTATAATAAATAATAAGCAAGATGTAAAGAATAAAATCAAGTATATCTGGCATGTGAACAGTCAGAATTCCTCTACCAAAGACAGAAACCACGCAATTAGGTTTGTTGTTGTTATCATTGCCTTCTGTCAACCTCCATCCACCCTCAACCATGTGCTGATTATAAGAGAAACAAATTTTATTTATGAAGATTCCATTTTCAAGATAAACTTCTTTCTTTTTTTTTTTTTGAGACCGAGTCTCGCTCTGTCGTCCAGGCTGGAGTGCAGTGGTGCGATCTCGGCTCACTGCAAGCTCCACCTCCCGGGTTCATGCCATTCTCCTGCCTCAGCCTCCCAAGTAGCTGGGACTACGGGCACCCGCCAGCACGCCCAGCTAATTTTTTATATTTTTAGTAGAGATGAGGTTTCACCGCGTTAGCCAGGATGGTCTTGATCTCCTGATCTCGTGTTCCGCCCACCTTGGCCTCCCAAAGTGCTGGGATTACAGGCGTGAGCCACAGCGCCCAGCCTAGATAAACTTTTTTAAGTGAGAAAGAGATATTTAAAACTAATGGTTGGGCAAAGACATACCAAATAAATGCAAAGAAAAACCAGAGGTGGAAATATTAATATTAAAAATAGGCTGGGCACAGTGGTTGGCCAGGTGCAGTGGCTCATGTCTGTAATCCCAGAACTTTGGGAAGCTGAGGTGGGCAGATTACTTGAGCCCAGGAGTTTGAGAACAGCCTGGGCAAAACCCCATCTCTACCAAAAATACAAAACTTAGTCTGGTCTCAAAATAAATAAAAATGAAAAAATATGTAAAATTCAAAAGTACATACGTGGAAGACTTTTCAATAATCCTGCCTTAGCAGGCCAAGGGGTTTTCCAGCCATTTCTCTCTGGCATTTGCCTCTATCTGTAAACACAGGACTTGGAGAACTACTCACTAGGATCTCAGGGTACAACAAGGCGTAGGCTAGTCCAGCCCGCTGAGAAAGTTTATGTGGCTTAAAACACAAGCACAGAGACGAGCTTACAACTTGGGGTCCACGTCTTTCTGACCTCTGGCCCTGGGAAGTGTTTGTACTGGCTACTCTGTCAAAAGCTCATTTTGCTGCCTCGAATGAGGAAGGAAATGCGTAAATGAGAGGCACAGCAGTCCGCTCCTTGGACCTACAGGAAGCGGGCAAGAATTGCAAAGTAAGAGAAGAGGCTCCCAGGCAACGTCCCAGGAGTTTGCAAGCAAATCTCACTTTATCCACCCCTCCTAAAAATCTGGCTATCATGGGGACCATCAGGACAGCCAAGGACAGGGAGCTCATGATCATCAGTGAGACCTGATTACTAACTGCTCAGTGTGAGCCTGAACAGAAACTAAAGGGGCATGGCTTGAATGTCCTCTGATGCCTGTGTTAAAATTTCTGAGCCTTTCACTTATTATCTTATAAAATGCATTTATTTATTAATTTTAAGACTATAAAGAAAAGAGATTCTTCCAGATCCTTGGCCACGTATTCTCCTAAAACATAGACAATACAGAATTTAAGGCCAAAGACCAAAGGCATTAAATAACCAGCAAATGACACAAAGTAGGAAGATCAGCTTGATAAGCCTGTATACACGAAATATGAAAGCCAAATTCAAAAGGCTAGAACTCCCACAAATATAAATAGAGCTGGACTTTAAAAAACTACAGTGACAGTTTTTGTTATACCTCTCAGAATCTGACAGCCAGGCAAGCAGGGATATAAGGGCAACTGAAGTTAAGAGATCTATCTAAAGTCAGTGTCCCGCAGAGTACCTATTTTCTCCTTTCACGCCCATGAAACATGTTAATATTTACCATGCAGTTGGCCACAAAGAAAATTTAATACCAGCCAGGTGCAGTGGCTCACTCCTGTAATCCCAGCACTTTGGAAGGCTGAGGCGGGGTGGGGGGACTGCTTGAGGCCGGGGCTTTGAGACCAGCCTGGGCAACATGCTTCATTCACTCATTCATTGATTCATGAGGATGAATCCATTTTGTGAAAGCAGCAAACCCTTGCAGGCACCTAGGTCTGCCTGAGCACGGAGCGCCATGGGGAGGGATGTCGGTGGCAGGCCATCCACATGTTCCCTTCTGGGATTGGAAAGGGAGGAGGGTAAATCGAGGCAACAGGGTCAAACACGTCCTCCTCGCCTTCAAAGCCACCATTTCAGAGCCTGTCTAAACTTACTATCATCAGATCCTCATGTCCTGCTACTCCTCACCCATTCATTCCAACCTCGCTTCTGCTCCCATCATCCCACCAAAGCAGCGAAGGCAGGTGCATCTTCTCCATGTCACTCACCACAGCCGCGATGCCAAGCTGACTACTCCATCCCACGAAGCAGACTCACCCTGGCTCCTGGGATACAACTCTGTGCTGGCTTTCTGGGCCCCTCTCAGGCAGCTCTTTTTCTGGGTCCTTTATAGGCTCATCTTCCTTTACTCAGCTGTTCAAGGTGAGTTCTTCCATCTCGCTGTGCCCATGACTTCAAACACAAACACAACCTATACAAATGTCTGTCTAGCCAAGACTCCTCCTGAGCCCCAGACCCACCAGCTTATTTGGGATCTCAAAGATACCTCAAACACAGTATGTCCAAAACCAAATACATGATCTTCTTCATCCTCCAAACCTGGTCCTCATCCAGTGTCCCATGTCTCAGGGACACCAGGGGGATGACTCTAGGGTGAGTGGGGGCGGTCTCTCCTTTTAAGCACACCATGCAGGGTGAGGCCAACAGTGGGTTCTCAGTAATGAGCAGTTCTACCGGAACATGCCTTGTCACCTACTTCCTAAAAATAGCCGTGACCTTTTTAGTGGACACAGCAAGCTCACATCTGCTACCACCACTCCTTCCCCACTGACACATGCACCCTTTCCCCCAGCGGTGCCACTCCCCAGGCTGGATGTGCCATATGCTCTCCAGCCTCCCCGTGGGTAGCCTCCACATTTCTCCTCTCTGCCCTCACTCAGATTTCCCCCCATCTCAAGTCCTCCAAGTCAGCCACCCCCAGGTGTGAGGGGCAGGGGACATCTGACTTCCCTCTCAATTTCCTTTCCTTCTTTTCTGCTAAGGCGGAGCCTAAGCCCCTGGAAAACTAGAGATCTCAGAACCAAGCTTTGACCACCGCATGCTCCACCCCCTGCTTCACAGCTCCTGGCAGTCACACACCCACTATATCAACATCGTCATTACCACCCCCTAACTGATCTCAAACCCCTTTGCAAACATCTTCTCATCTGATTCTCCATTCCAGGCAGGAATTTTATCATCCAGAACTGTTCTGTGTGGGGGGAGGCTCAGTGTGGCTGGGTGGTTTGTCCCAGGATACCCAGCACAGAGAACTCTGTCCCCCAATTTCTTGGTTGCCCCCACCCATTCCTTCCTCACTTCAGCATGGGCAAGGCCAGCTGTGGTCTGGGTCACTGTTCAGGCTGTACTTTTAGGATCCTCCCAAATAACAAACAACTATGTGACTATCAGGTCTTTATTTCATGGGTTATAGGAGACAGGATCAGTAGGCCTAATGTGTAACAGTTTCAGCGGTTATCAGAGAGTTCCACTGAATTGCAACAATTCCCTTTAAAAGCACAAACGCCCACCAAGAAAACCTCAGTTTCTTCATGAATCCTAAGAGCTTTCCTATCTAGGTATCACTCAAAATTCCCACTATTCCGGGAGTAATGGGATCAGAGAGTGCTGCAGAGAAAAATCCACAGAAAGTGAAAAGTCTGTTTCCTTGGCAGTGCTGGTGAAGCACACCCTTGCACACACGCTTCCCCATGGGACCCAGTGCCAGGAACTGCTTCAGGCTTATGGGGGAAGACGGTGGCAAAGAAGAGAGAGGAGGCCGGGCACGGTGACTCACTCCTGTAATCCCAGCACTTTGGAAGGCTAAGGCGGGCAGATCATCTGAGGTTAGGAGTTCAAGACCAGCCTGGCCAACATGGTGAAGCCCCGTCTCTACTAAAAATACAAAAATTAGCCGGGCATGGTGGCGCATGCCTGTAATCCCAGCTACTCAGGAGGCCGAGGGAGGAGAATCATTTAAACCCAGGGAGCAGAGGTTGCAGTGAGCCAAGACTGCACCACTGCACTCCAGCCTGGGCGACAGAATGAGATCTGTCTCAACAACAACAACAAAAAAGACAGAGGAAGAAGAGGGGTGAATCCAGGAGGAAGGAGGGGGTGCACCAGAAAGGTCCTGAAACCTCTGATGTTCCAGCATTCAGCATGCATTTTGGTTCCACATTCACCTCCTGCCCACACCAGTTTCTTTTCTCTATTCTACAGTTCCCAAGAAGAACCCACACTAACCTATTCTGTCTCAACTCCCACTCCTGTCATCCCAAGTCACACATCACCTCCCCAATCACGTGAACTAGGCATCAATAATCGATCCTAGCCTTCTAGACACGTCCACCCAGGGTGGGCCCTTTCTATAATATCATGCATAAAGGCATCAGATGGGGCTTCCACTCCCACCTCTTAGTCCCAATTCATCTCCATCTCACCCTCCCCACATTTCTCTGCCTATCCAAATCCAGCCTTCAAGGTCCTATACTTTAACCACAGGGAAACTACTTCCCTGTGCTGCCTCTGTTGTTCAACTAATGACAACTAATTTTCTGAGCACCTACATTAGGCAAGGCCCATCCTGAGTGCTACCACCAAGAGGTAAGTCAGAAACAGCCTCCACCCTCCAGAGTCAGAAGACAGGGCAGAGATAAGCCACATGGCCACACAAATACTACGCACAAGGCGAGAGATGAGAACTGAGTCAGTGCTGGAGGGGCTGAGTGAGCTCAGAGCATATCCCATCCCTCCTGCTGGGCAGCAGGCACCGGGATGGCTCCCAGGAGGGTGGAGAATCCTGGGCCAGACCAGGAGGGAGGGCATTCCAGGAAGACAGAGAGCATGAGCTTAGCATGAGCTAAGCCAGAAAGATGGTTCAGGAGAAGCGCATTTCAACTTTAGCTGAACCTTCCACTGCTACTATTTACTGACCCTTACATCTGATTATTTATGACCCAGGCCTGCCTCACACACTTTATGGCTAATCTGGGTGACACCCATCTGGGACACACAAGTGTGGTGCAGCAGTCACCACCTGTTCTGACTGGTCCGTACCTGAGCGCTGTATGGTTATTAAATGAATGAATGCACTGAATCTCACAACAAACCTGTGAGGCAGGGATTAGTATTACCCCCATTTTACAGATGAGGAAACCAAAGCACAGACAATAGTCGGAGACAAGATAGCAAGGTATGCAGGAGCCTGAAGTAGTGGGCACCCAATGCCAGGGCAACAAACTGCCCTGGCACCTCACCTGGCCTCTCTTGTCAGGGAACACCTTGCAGCACAAAGAATGCGTTTAGGAAAGGGGGCCTGTTAATCCTCCTGGAATCCCCAACAGTTGACTGCCGCATAAAAGGAATGAGGAAAGCAATGAGAGAGCCAGTGAAGGGTGAGCATGCCCTGCAAACCTTTAGTCCCTGTTGCGTGGGCTGGGCAGGGCAGGGGCTCGGCGTCACAGCTCCACTCCATGCCTAAGGCAGAGAACAGATGGGAGAACCACCACAAACGCCCAATCTCTACAGAGAGGTCACTGATTGGAGGGCAGAGACAGAAATGCCCCGGGCCGACTGTTTCCAGCTTGGGCTAGCACTGGCTGGCTTAACTTTTCCCCTCCAAAGTCTCTAGGTGACAAATTTCGCGTGTCTCCTTTAAACCAACAGACCGTTTTACCTTTCTAAGTCTTAAGGGCCTGGCCTGCACCCATGGGGAGATACAAGTCCAGGAATCCCTTCCTGAAACTGGGGATCAAAGTTGGGGAAGGGGCGAAGGGAGGCACAACATCGGGGATGGCTCCCGCATTCTCTCAAACATTGGGGAGAGTTCCTTACAAATAAACTGCAATGGTAGCAGCTCCCATGAATGTGCGTGCTCCCAGTTACGGAGGAAAGTTCCTGAAGATAGCCTTGTCTGCTTGCTCTCCCCCAGCCTTGCCTGAAAGAGCGCGCGCACCCCGGAGGGCCCCGCGGGGCTGCGGGGCTCGGCCGCCAGCATCCCTCCAGCCACCCGTTGCCTCCTGCGCCCAGGGTCATGGCCCCCGGCCTTACCCAAGCCCAGACTGAGACCCTGACCCCTGAGCCCGGGGGCGCCGGCGAGTGCACCCCGACCGCACAGGAGGGGGCAGCCCCCGACGCCGAGGCTTATTGAGGGGGCTGCCAAGCCGACACGGCCAGCCCGGGACCCGCCGACGCCTCCTCTGTCCCCCACCCCCACGCCTGTAATGCAACCAGGAAGCAGCAGGGCCGCGCTGGGCTGGGCGCGGGGCAGCCCCGGGCCTCACCTGCGGTGCCGCGGTGCACTGCCGCCGCCTGGTCCCAGGCCCCCGGCCGGCCCGGGACCCTCACTCACCTGGCCACGGGGACTCGGGACGCGAGGGGCGAAATGGGACTTGGGCGGGAGTGGCTCTCTCCGCGGGCGTCCTGGACGCGGTGCCTGGGTTCTGCCTGGGGCTGTATCCCACTCCCGCTCGCCGGGCACTCAGGACACTGGGGAGTCGCGGGCGCCGCAGCCTTCAGGGCGGGGAGGGAGGAGGAGCCTGCCGGGCGGAAAACTCCGCGGGCGCGGTTGCCCCAGGCGCCGGGGGAAGGGCAGGGAAGGGGCGAGGCCTGAGCGCGGCCCCGCCCCGAGATGAGGTTTGGGCAGGGCGGGACCGCGAGCAGCAGCGCCCTTCCGGCTGCGCAGCTGCTCCAGGACGTCTCCGGCTCCGGAGGTCCCTCTGTCGCCCCTAACCCCCTGCAGCGCCCGGTGCAGCACAGAGCCGCATTCGCCCTCCTGCAGGGGTGGGCATTTCCTAAGTCCTCTCCAGCCCCGTGTGCGTCGTTAGTGACTCTCTTTAAGGTAAAGAAAACTTTTTACACTGAAAAAGTCAAACACATTTCTTTCATATCAACACTCAGTGGTGGTGGAGGGGGGAAGGTCACGCACAGTATGTGAGGAAGGGAGCGGTCAGTGACTATCATGGAGAAACCTGACCAACCACCCAGCCGTCAAGGTGACCTCGACAGGGGTAAATCATACTGATTGCATGCACCGCTTGTGGTCTTCCTCCCAAGAACACCTAATCCCACTGTAATCATGAGAAAAACATCACAAATCAATTGAGGCCCTTGCCATATACATGACCAGTACTCCTGAAAACTAGCAAGGTCATCAAAAACAAGGAAAGTGTAAGACACTGTCACAGCCAAGAGGAACCCACGGAGATATAAAAATGACATGTAAAGTGGTATCCTGAACGGGATCCTGGACAGACAGTAGGTAGAAACTAAGGACAACTTAATAAAATATGGACTTTAGTGCGTCAGTTTTGGTTTATTCATTGTGGCAAAAGCGCCACACCAATATAAGATGTTAGTAATAGGAAAAACTCGGGTTTATGAGAACTCCCTGTATTCACACTTTTTCTGTAAATCTAAAGACGTTCTAAAAAAAAAAAAGCTTATTTTTAAAAGGTCACACAGGTAATATATGCATATACGGTAGGTATGCAATTTTTTTTTTTTTTTTTTTTAATGTGTGGTGGCTGACACCTGTAATCTCACAGCACTTTGGAAGGCCAAGACAGGAGGATGGCTTGAAGACAGGGCTTCCAGACTAGCCTGGGCAACATAGTGAGACCCGGTCTCTAAAAAACTGAAAATAAAAAATTCAAAAAATGAATAAAAATTGAGATTCACTCTTCTTTCCACTCCCCCAGCCCACTCTTAGGCGTGTCCTTCCAAAATATCTCTCTTCAATACTGTGTGTGTGTGTGTGTGTGTGTGTTTACATAAACATATTGTTTACAAAACAATATTGCAGTACTTTTCTGCAACATGTTTTTTTACTCACTATATCTTGGAGGGTCTTTCCATAGAAGCGCTCCCGAACAGACCTAGTTCTTCCCATCCGCTGCACACTGCGCGCCATCGTGCACTTCACCATTCTTCACTACCTAGCTCCTTACTGAAGGACATTTAGGTTGTTGCCTATGTTTGACTATTACAAACAAGCTGCTGGTGCGATTTTCCTTTTTTTTTTTTTTTTTTTTTTTTGAGATGGAGTCTCCCTCTGTCGCCCAGGTTGGAGTGCAGTGGTACGATCTCGGCTCACTGCAACTTCCGCCTCCCGGGTTCAAGCAATTCTCCTTCCTCGGCCTCCCGAGTTGCTGGGTCTACAGATGCTCACCACCACGCCCGGCTAATTTTCATATTTTTAGTAGAGACGGGGTTTCACTATGTTGGCCACACGGATCTCGAACTCCTGGGCTCAAATGATCCGCCCGCCTCGGCCTCCCAAAGTGCTGGGATTACAGGCGTGAGCCACTGCCTCCGGCCCGATTTGCGTTTTAAAGTCGCTCCGAACAATAAAAGCGGGAAGGGCTGGAGGGGAGGCTCTGACCTTCTCCCTGTCTGGGCAGGTGTGCTGGTGCCGGGCAGGAACAGCGCCTTGCCTTGGGGCATCCTGGCCCCGGCCTCACAACCGGCCCTGAGCGCTCAGTCATATTCCGTGGCCGCTCCAACACCCCCGACCCCCACCAACAGGCGCGGCTCTCTTTCGCGGCTGGACCACATTTTTTGGACATGAGTCCGCGAGTGAGGGTGAAATTCAGGCCAAAGTCTCCAGAGCGGCTCGGAGAAAACGTCGACTGGAACTGAAGAGCAGAGGGTCAGAGGCACCACCAGAAAGACTCTCAGAGTGGGTTACTACCCTGGTGGCGGCGCCCGCCGCGGCGTAGGAGATGGCAGGACTGAGGGCGCGGGTGTGAAGCCTCCAAGAAACTGGGTGAAGTTCCTGGAGTGGTAATGTCTCCAGGCGCTCTCTCTGGGCCCGGGGATTGGTCCGGGAAGGACTCCTGGCGCCGACGCAGCCCCCCTGCATAGACGCCTG